GGCCTCCTAAAGCAAATATTATGTTATTCTGGAATTAACCCCTACCTGCTCCTTACTGACCTGTATCTGAATTCACTGCAAGTTGCTTTGGAAAGATGCATGTGCGAAGCTACTAGTCAGTAGTAAATAGTAGGGGATTATGTGTGTTCACATTGTGTTAGTAGGGGGTCGTGTGTGTGTGTGTGTGTGTGTGTGTGTGTGTGTGTGTGTGTGTGTGTGTGTGTGTGTGTGTGTGTGTGTGTGTGTGTGTGTGTGTGTGTTCGTTCTAGAAACTTCTCCCAATGTTGCGGAACACCATCCCAGGACTTGCTCCCGGTTCTCCTCCACATTCAGGATCAGCCCAAGTCTGCCTCTAATTCCAGAATAACATAAGTCATTCTCATCTCAGGTGGTTCAACAGATCCTGGGATAAAAGAGCTTTCAGAGAGAGGGTGATGGACAGCATGATGAGGAGCCGGTGACAGACACTGTTTCCGCCTTTTCCATACGTCCAACATTAAGACCATGGAGGCATACGAGTGGGAACAAGTCCTCACGATTCATGAACTCAACTCGGGGTTGAAGACACCACCAGTCAAAGGCTTTTTTCTTTTTTGGATGCACTGACAAATATGTTTTCTTTTTTCTTGTACAAGTGCAAGCCAACACTTGTCCGATGAACGTACCCTGTGTGTACCCTGGTGGCTAATATTTTATATGCATTTTTCATGTTTGTAACTTTCATATACTTGTAGGAACGCAGTGGATAAATACCGTATCTATTTCTGATGATTCATCCCTCCCATTTACCAAGATAGTACGACCCAATAGCAACCGACTGCCAGAACACAGGCCAATCAATCACCACCCCACATTAATCTCCATGGCGATGGACCATTCCAAAAAATAATATGGATAAGATTGGTGGACAGGATGCACCAAATATGTCATCACTTGAGGAGGGAAAATCACTGTTATCGGTGAAAGGTTAGGTCTGACGACCCAGTTATTTTACTATTATTATAATTGTTGTTATTTTTAGCAGGCTCCGTTTTGAACAGCTGAAGAATTTACGAATTTACCAGTATTTATAAGCAATAGATCAAAAATATATTTTCAGATACTTCAAAAGTATGAATCTCCAATGATCCAAAAATGGCGTGTTCCGGTACCACCGCAGGTGTGGCGTTCCTGCAATGTTCTGCTGTTACTCAAACCACCCAATCACATCCTCAGTCCCACGGACGAGCTGATTGGCTCACTGCCCACATCATTGTGGGTATTTACACAAACACAGGCGAGTCGTAACACTACAATAGATTGTTATATTGTAAAACACAGATATTATCTATCACATCTATCTTCCTATCCATCCGTTCAACCATTGAGTGCTATGCACCACAGAAAAATGAAGATGGAGAGAGATAGAGAGGTAAAGAAAAAGGGGGAGAGAGAAAGAAGATAGTAAAGTAATCAGTCTTCTTTAATGCTGAGCCGTCATGCTCTGCAAATGTCAACATGGGAGCTAGCTAGCATACAAGCAGCTACATGTTCCTGCTAACAAGAGCTGGGAGTATTTCCCATGATGCACTGCATCCTAAACCTAACCCTCTCCCCCTAAACTTAACCATCTCTAACCTAATAATAATTATAACTATTTCTAATGCATCATGGGAAAAGTGTGTGTGTAGTTACAGGTGTGTGAATGTTTTTTATTTACATCTCGGTGTGGTTCATGTTTAATGTTCTTTAATATTGTCTTAATCCTATGTTGGTGTAAAAGCAGAAATATTCAGGTCAAAGGCGTGTTCCAGTCAATTATCAAATTACTTTAACTTCTGTCCCTCATAATGTCTTCGCGTGCACATGTGTGCATGTGTGTGTGTGTGTGCATGTGTGTGCGTGTGTCTAATTACTAGGCCCTCGGCAACAGCCCAGAGGAGACAAAGTTAATTTAACCTCAGCTGTTTGTTCAAATCTTCCCATAAAATCACACACACGTGCGCACACCGCACACACACACAGAAAAAATTGAATTTTGGATAATTTGTGTTGGCAATACCTTGCCAATCATTTTTTTACACAAATTACACAGGCAGGTGTTGCAAGGTACAGAACAAGGTGTGGTCATTTAATACCTGAACTATTTGTGTTACATTTTAGGTTTTTGGGGTTTTTTGGGGGGAGGTTTGAGTGAGTGAGTGAGAGAGAGAGAGAGAGAGAGAGAGAGAGAGAGTGAGTGAGTGAGACAGAAAGAACAGACAGACAGATATATCGAGAGCCAGAGAAAGAGCGAGAGGGATGGATGCAAGACAGATAGAGGGACAGAGAGGGATGGAGTGAAATAAAGAGAGAGAGGAAAAGAGACAGAGAGACATAAAGAGAGAGAGAGAGAATCCTTAAGAACATATTTAACATTTAAGACTTCTGATCTGCAGCAAATCCCTTCACTCGGAGATCAAACACCACAGGATTATAAGGTCATAATTTAATAATAAAAACCATAAGTCCATCAGGTTGTCCGGGTTTCGATCACCCCCTCACCCACCTCTGCTCCTCCTCCTCTCTCTCACCCTGCATCACCCCCTCCTCCTCCCCCCTCACCCAGTACCATCTTGTTTCCTCCCTAAAGTGATAGTAATCTTAAGGCGTGTTCCAGTCAATTATCAAATTACTTTAACTTCTGTCCTTCATAATGTCTTCGCGTGCACATATGTGCATGTATGTGTGTGCATGTGTGTGTGTGCATGTGTGTGTGTGCATGTGTGTGTGTGTGTCTAATTACTAGGCCCTCGGCAACCAATTTTCATATTTCTATGGAAGCCCAGAGGAGACAAAGTTAATTAACCTCAGGTGTGCGTTCAAACCTTCCCATAAAATCACACACACGTGCGCACGCCCCGCACACACACACGCACAGAAAAATGTGAAATTAATTTTGGATAATTTGTGTGGGCAATACCTTGCCAATCATTTTTTACACAAATTACACAGGCAGGTGTTGCAATGTACAGAACAAGGTGTGCTCATTTAATACCTGAACTATTTGTGTTACATTTTAGGTTTTTGGGTTTTTTGGGGGGGAGGTTTGAGTGAGTGAGTGAGAGAGAGAGAGAGAGAGAGAGAGAGAGAGAGAGAGAGAGAGAGAGAGAGAGAGAGAGAGAGACAGAGACAGAGACAGAGAGAGACAGAAAGAACAGATAGATCCGAACAGACAGATATATCGAGAGCCAGAGAAAGAGGGGAGAGGGATGGATGAAAGACAGATAGAGGGACAGAGAGGGATGGAGTGAAATAAAGAGAGAGAGGAAAAGAGACAGAGAGACATAAAGAGAGAGAGAGAGAGAGAGAGAGAGAGAGAGAGAGAGAGAGAGAGAGACATTTAAGACTTCTGATCTGCAGCAAATCCCTTCACTCGGAGATCAAACACCACAGGATTCATAATGGGTCATAATTTAATAATAAAAACCATAAGTCCATCAGGTTGTCCGGGTATCGATCACCCCCCCCAACCCACCTCCTCCTCCCCTCTCTCAGTAACATCTCGTTTCCTCCCTAAAGTGATAGTAATCTTAACAAAACTGTATTTATACGGCACAGCAAAACAAGTGCTTCTTCATACCACCAGCACTAGCACTTCAAAACTAACCTCCTCTCCACATCCCCTACACTCCCTTCCTCCTCTTCACCTCCTCCTCTCTACACTCCCTCCATCCTGTCCTTCTTCTCCCCTATTACACTTATTTAGACACCACAAACTGGGTTAACAGATATATACATCACAGTAAGTACACTACTGAAATACTGGGAAACACTAAGTACTACACTAAGAGACACACGCCGGGGGAGTGAAGGGGAGAGAGAGAGAGAGAGGGAGAGAGAGAGAGAGAGAGAGAGAGAGAGAGAGAGAGAGAGAGAGAGAGAGAGAGAGAGAGAGAGGAGGTTGACAAGTTAAAAGACAGCAGGAAACAAGTCACGGCAATGTCCAACTTACCCTCCCCCCTCTCCCCCTCCCTCCTCCCATCTCCCCCTCTCATCTACCTGAGCTGCCCCTCCTTCATCTTGATTTTTTAAAACTTTTGTCTTCCTCACATTCCAGCTCCTGGCTGTCAGTCCTTCGCCCCAGGACCTGTCTCTCTACCTCTCTCTCCCTCCCCTCACACACCTTCTCTCTCTCTCTCTCTCTCTCTCTCTCTCTCTCTCTCTCTCTCTCTCTCTCTCTCTCTCTCTCTCTCTCTCTCCCCCTCTTTCAACTCCCATTACCCTAACTCACCCTACCTCCTTCCCCTTTCTCTACCTCTCCATCAGGGAACACCCTATGGGTGTGTGTGTGTGTGTGTGTGTGCGTGCTGCAGTATAAGTGCTCGACAGTCATTCCGATGTCATATTTATTGCCATTTATAGTGGTAAAGTATAAACACCTGGATGGGTTTGTCCTGAAGAAACCTTGTGAGTTGTAAATAAACTATAAAATAACTACTTAATATTTACTATTTAATCATTTAGCAGACGCTAACCAAAGTGACTTACAGTGACTATACATGTCTTTAAGGAGCAGGTAGGGGTTAGGGGGCATCTTGCTCAAGGACGCCAACAGGTTGACTGAGGACATTGGGGATCAAACCTAGAACCTTTAGGCTGGGAGTCAAACACCCTAACCCCTAAAACGCGCCCTAACCACTCCCTGCTCCTGCATCTGAATTTACTGTAAGTGTCTTTGGATGAAAGCATCGGCCAAATGAATAAATAAAATTAATAAACACAACGAGTAAATAACAACCTATACAAACATTTTTGCTGGTGCTACACAAAATAAAGTTTTATCTGCGGGTAAAAAAGTGTTTGGTGGAACCACCTGGTGGGATGACCTCTTCCCAACCTGGCACTGGATTCAATCCAACTTAATGTGTCCACCTCTGTTTACAGAAGGCCTGTCACCGTAAACTTGACCACATTCCCAAATCCTCTAGGAACACGCCAACTCTCCCGTCGACATATATACAAGCCCCTCTCCCCCTCTC